AGAGAGAGAGAGAGAGAGAGAGAGAGAGAGAGAGAGAGAGAGCGGAATAATTTTTCAAGTATTTAAATACCTTTATTCAAGTACGCGTTTTCTCAAAATTAAAGTATATTATACTGTGAAATATTTACTTTTGTTTTCAAATATACAATTTCTTATTTTCTCAATAGTTTGAAAATATAAATTTAAACAAATATTCATTAAATATTCATTATATTTTTAAACTTTTGGATACAGAAATTTATAGATTCATTGCTACTTTTCAATAAATATTAATTGTAATGTAGTAAGCCAGAATTACAGATTAAAGTGAAAATTTGAAGAAAAAATCATTTTCAAATTTTCATATTTATTGTAAACAAGTAAAGAAATGTTATAAGCATTAGTTAAATAAATATATTACCGAAAATTTAAAAAGTTTTTTTCTCGATATACAAGAAAGATATGCTTAAAACCACGAACAAATAATTCTCGTCCAGAATAGCAGGTTCTTATTAAGTCGTACAACTAATATCACTCAAGAATCAAGCCATCGCGATAAGTCCGCAACGATAGCGTGCAATTCGAGCCGCGATGTATTTTGCAACTGTGGATTAATCTTTGGCAAGTAAGACCGGACGAACGAGTAAGCGCCTATTCTCGCGCGAAATACGATCCTTCGATAACTCGTCATCTTAACGAGAGGATATCTCTCTTTTCTTCGGCACACCTTGCCGGTTTATTTTAATACAGACACCTCGTAATAATTTTCTGGATGTGTGCGCGCGAGCATATGGAACGGGACATCGATCCTCGCTCTCGTTACTTTCGATGCTCCGGGCAGAGTGGAAGGTCTCCCTTGTTATCCGTCTCCTTTATAAGGCGCGCATGCCAATGCAATGGTGCATAATTACCGGTTTTCGATCGAGCAAGTGCATCGCCGCGCGTTTCCGCGCCTGTCAAAGAAACGCGCGACTCCGTTCCTGCCGTTCGAGGTGGTCGCGTGTCGCTGTTGATCCTTTTTCTCGGGTTGGACACGTCGCGCAATGTCCCGTTTTGCTTGGAGTAATGTCGCATCAATTAGAGAAAAACTGGTGATAAATCATTATCAGTGTAGAATTATCCTCTTCCGTCTGCATTGAGGGAAATTCCGATAAAAAATTAACAAATGGATATTTCCGACCAAAATGAATTTTTCTATCCGATCAAGAAACTGATCTGATTAGAGAAATATAAATTTTTGATCTATTTATCTGATGAAATGCTATTATGATCAAAAGTATTCAGTTTAATCGGATATACTGATCGGATATAAAAATTGATTGGAAATATCCATTTGTTAATTTTTTTATCGGATAATTTATCTCAAAAAGCTTCGCAAATTTCCAGAAATGTCCGAAATCATTATTCTAGAAATTCCCGGTATTCTTATCCACACAGAAATTTCCAAAAGGTCCTAAAGTTCCTTTCCTTTGCAAGCCGAAACTTACTTTTCCCTTCCTTCTATCTCAAAATTCGATCATGCTCTCGGCGTCAGTGACGTCATTTATTTTGCTTCACCATAACCATCCACATGCTACGTATATGATCAACGATCCGTCGTCCGACTAGATTCGGTCCCTCCTTGCAGAAAATTATCCCTTTTCCTTAACAATCAATAAACAGCCGTAAAATCAACGTGATATATACTTTTCCCTCCTTATCTATTCTTATAATTTTGTCACGTTAATTTTACTGCTATTTGTTAACAATTAAATGAAAAGAATAATTTTCGTATTTTACGAATATCAAGTGATCTGAAGTGTTTCTTTATTCAAATATCTTTTTTTTTTAAATGGTACACAAAAATTTTCAGTATGTTATTTCTCGCTTTTGTCATCACGATTCAACATTATCGCGATAAGTATTCGGGAACATTAAAATTGACTATTTTTTAACGCGGTTACTTTTGTACGTCAGAAATAAAAGAATAAATTTTTTACGAATCTCTCTTTCTCTCTCTGTGTTTTCTTATTTCGAATTTCTCCGCTCTTGAGACAAGTGCTAATTACTTCTGTTTTAATTATAACTACGGCGCATAAAAATTTCCGCGTATTATTAAATTCCTGCTCAACAATAAAAGCGGGCATAGAGCGTGAAAATGCGAAAAATTAACCGTACCGTATTGCGGTTACCTGCTTTCGTTTTTGTGCGAATATTCCGTAGCTGTTTAATATTTTATGATGCTGCATAATGAATCGCGCATGAAAGTATAAAAAGAAATTTATAGTTTTACACAGAGATTGTCCTTTTCTTTTTTTTGCCATCGTATTACGTACAACTGGCTTCAGCACAGTTTGTTATCGTGTTAAATTCTATATAGTAATTTGCAAAATTGCATATAATATAATCTCATTCTAAGTGAAATCCT